AAATACTGGCCAGTCAGTGATGCCCAGGTCCCACAAATGAATGAAAAATAACTGCAGGCCAGATGATGATTTTAAATTTATTTCCAGCATAACTCTTAGCCAAGTCCAGATAAGTAATACATGCTTTCCAATAACAGAATGACAACCATTCCTGGATATATTGTTTCAGAGTTTTGCCAGCACAATTAGCATGCTCTCCAGTGGGAATGGTCAATAGGATGTATTAAATAAAGCATTCATAAATACACTGGGCCCTGTTTTATGTAGGCAAAATTAATTTGTCCATACATTACATTCCTGTCCAGAAGGAGGACATAGAGTCAGCCAATTGCTGTTACATCGCCATAGCAGCGCCTTGACCAATCAATTGAAATTTATCTACATGGTCTTCAAAGGTAACAGCATCTCTAGACCCAGTCAATCATCAGCCTCCTCTCAAGCTGTATAAAATGATGTTTCCTTTGTTGAAATTTATTTCTTGTATCCTTGCTCAAAATTAAAAGCTTTAACTTCGTGTCCCCTTAATGTTTAAACTCTGTAACATCAAGCAAGAGGTATAATTTTAAACCAGCACTAATTATCTGCAAACTTCAACTGCTGAGCTAAAGTAAATAAAATAATCATCTGTCCGTTTTATTTTGGTGCAAACAGTTTCATTTATTGTTTTGTACAAGACATAGTATTTCACAAAATATATAACATTAAAATGTACATATTTTTGTAAAACAAAGAATAAAGGGTTAAACACCTGTAAGTTGTAAACTGCTCGAGAGGTTTATTTCCTTGTATACATTATCAGGGAGATCAGTTTGGAGTCAGGCTTGCTGTAGCATTCCTGCTGTCACAGGCTTTCTCACTGTTGACAGGTAGAATAAATGGGCACACTCTTAAGTTGTTTGTATCCATTACAGATGTGCTCTCATGTTTTGCCTCTCTCCTTCTGACCATGCTTCCATACAGAATGGAAGCTGTTCTGTCTGAAGCCTGTTAACACATTGGTGCTAGCTTTCATTACTAAAGGTGTTAAATCTCACCTCATTTCCCTATAGTGTATAAGCCATAAAGGAACCCTCACTGCTTACAGAAGCAACATAAAGGTGTGCATTTATCACGTACCATTGAACTTATTAAATCCAAACATACCAGTTTGGCAATTTTGATGAGCGGTCGCAAATACTGGATTGATATGTAAAGGATTAATTGCCAAAGGAATTGGCAATCAGATGTGTGTAATATTGATT